CACGATCAACTTCTATCGCGTTGCGTCCAACTACTTCTTTGGCGCCGGCAGCAATCGCGTGGTGACCATTCAGTCGCAGAACGGCGGCAGCTTTACCATCTGCTCCTCGCGCAGCTACGAGTGGCCGCAGCAGAACTCCACTAGCTCCAGCACGGGCACCACTGTGGACCAGAGCTGTGTGCAGATCAGTGGCAATAGCTACTCCTACGATCTGTCCAATGCCTGCAATGGCTACTACACCATCACACAGTGCCCGCCGCTCTACCTGTCCGTCCAGCCGGGCAGCATCAACACCACATCCTGCACACAGGATGCCTGCCAGACGCCCGATCAATGGCGCTACATCGTTTCGTCCGTCAACATGGGCTGCTACAGCGGCGTCTCTGGCCTGGCGGCCAGTCTGTTCACCATTTTGCTGGCGCTGCTGCTGCAGCAGTCGTTGCAGTAGTGCAGTTGTGCGGCAGACGGAGTCCAGTAAAAAAGAGTTCAAATTAATCACATCCTGTATGTATGCCCCACCCTAGCTTCCTTCCAAATATTTGTCGTCTTAAATTATTATTATAATTTTTTTATTTAAGTTGTAAGTTCCAGTGAAAAAGTCGCAAATAAACTCCCCACTAGAACTAACCAGCCTGTTTTTATTTGTGCTTAGACTCTTCCCAAGTGGTTCCTCGTAGGCTAACTATCCGATCTTATTTCCATTTTCAAATACATTCCTCTCACTTACTCTCCTTTGCAGCCATCATGGACTACTTTCAGCGCGATCAATCGGCCGATATATCCAATATGACCACCATAAAGACAAACATCTTTGTGTTTGTGGACACCAATTGGCCATACGATTGGATCGTCGACTATGTGGCGTAAGTGCACGTGAATATATGTAACTCATCCATCTGATTGAACAACCGACTGATTGACTGACTGACTGAATTACTGGGTAATGATCAATGCAGAGCTACCAGAGCTACCAAAAGTGCTTAAGAATTGTTTAGAATAGAGCATAATTTTTGCGCCTAACGGGGCTTATTATGCTTATGCTTTCCACCCACCTAGGTGGAAATCTGGTGGAAAAAGGTTGTGTAAAACATTTTGGTGTTTCATTCATGTCAAAGAATGCTCACAGATGTTTTTTGCCGAGTCGAGAGTCATAGTTTTCTTTAAAATAGAGCTTACTTTTACTCCTTACGGGATTTTACGCATTCCACCATCCTAGGTGGAAAAGTGGTGGAAAAAGGTTGTGTAGTACATTTTGGTGTTATATTCATGTCAAAGTTCTTTCTATAAACTAACACTCACACTCCTCGCTAAACCGAAGGACAAGGTTGGAAGATGGGGAGTCAAAGTTTATTTAGATTTTGGTGCTTAAAACGAACCTCAGAAAATTCACTTCACGGGAAAAAGTAACATAAAAATGGAATGCAAAATACTTGGCAGACTCTATCCTTCGATTTCTCTGCAGCTATGTCTTACAGAACTTGAACATTCATCCGTATGCGAGCACTGTAACGCTTTTTGCAGCCTCGGATGCTTCAGTCATAGTGAATACAACCGACTATATAGTAAATGTATACCAGGAATGGAACTTTACATCGCACTATTGGCGTAAGCATAACAATTCATAGTTGGTGCGACAGCTTAATCTAATTGCATGTGCGTAGATCCAGCCGGCTTCAATCTACCCGCTATACTAAACACGCTCAGCACGCGGGTGGAGCAGCTGCTGGCGGCGGATCAAGCCACTGACAATCTGGGTGGCCGCTCGCTGGTGGCTCTGCTGGTGCCGAGTCCCACGTCCTTTGTGGATGAGAACGACTACGATTACTGTGTGCGCTATATGGAGCGCCTGCGTTACAGTCTGCCACACCTGAACTTCATTTACTATGGCGGCGGCGCCTTGGTTCGGTTTCACGACTTTGTGCGGGAGCCCAGCAGGGATTTGCTTTTGTTGAACATTGAGAAGCCGCCGGAGGCATGTGGAGATCCAGTCATAAGGCGCATACGTCAGGGTGAGTCTTTCTGAGAATCTTTTAAGGCTTTTGAGTTAATTGTCTGATTCAGTTCCGCGTCGCATCTGGAATCCGCGTTGCTCTTCCAATGGGGCTATCAGCGAGTATGGCCTGAACTCGCTGGAGCAGTACGCTCGTCTGGGCAGCATCAATTTCTATCGCCTGGACGCGCTCTATATGCCAGCCAGGCAGAGCATGCGCTATCTGAAGATTGCAGCCATCAGTCAGATCACTTTTACGGTCTGCTTCTCGCGCAGCATCGAGTTGCCCTTTCGCAACGTGAGCCACCCGCTGCGCCAGGACGAAAGTTGTGAGTCCACGGCGTTGGGCTCGTACAGTTACGATTTGACGGATGCCTGTGTGGACTATGACTATGAGCCTTGTCCACCGCTCTTCTTCTCGGTGCAGGCGCAGGGCTTTGGCGATGTGTCATGTAACCAGGCCGCCTGCCAGACTCCGGACGAGGCGCAATACTTAATTAGTTTAAACAATCTTGGCTGCAATGGAGCTTTCTCTATCCAATTAGCGGCGGGCTTGTTTTTATTGACTGCTCTTTGTAGTATTTTAAGTTGATGCATCTAAACAAGTACAAATATCTAGGCAACTAGGAAACACGAGCTGCTTGAACGCCTGCAGGCAGTAACAAATAATTATGCACTTTACTATAATTAATTATGTTAAATTTAAATTTATATTTTGTGCCATTTGAGTGTCTCTGCTAAGCAATTGGTGAATTTACCCCTTAAATATCCGGTAGGGGGCTGCCAATGGATCCCCACGAAATTTCCACCAATAGAGTTAGGGATATTTTCACTTACGAGAAGTAGAAAGACAACTACCAAGGCTGCAAAGATATCCCTGGGGCGATTTTAAGTGTCCATGCTAAGCATGTGAAAATACCCTTTCTAGGATATTGCCAAGAAATTCCTTTTCGAAACTTAAACCTAGGGTTCTTATAAGTAGTACGCTTAAAAAACAATAGCGGGCACTGCGGAGATCAACAACGAAGTACCGTTGGCCCTAAAACAAATTTCCCTTTTTGTCGCTGCTGCCAAGCTCAGTTGTTGCGTAAGCGTCAATGTGACAATTCGTGTGTGGGATCTAATTAATTTCATTTTCTATTATTTTTTGTGTTTTATAATAAATATCATGTTCAAGTGCAAGTGTGTAGCAAAGGGCTGTGCTAATAACGCGTGTGAGTGTGTGACGTTAATATTAAACGTACATTTTAGGCGTTGGAGCAGCCGATCGAAATCAGTAGACCGAATAAAAAGCAAAGAGGAGACGCAAAATGGAAACAGTTATTTGGGTGAGTGCAATAAGCAAGTGCATTCGCTTCGCTTCCTCTTGCTTGTATTCGTATGTTTGTACGTTTGCGCATGTGCAGTTACATGCATGCGCTTGCAAATAGATATGTACGCCTGCTGTGTGAATAATTTATAAATGTTATTCCGGCCTCAGTTGATTCCGCTTACGAAATTTGTAACATTATTATATTGGGATTCAATTTTACGCAGGACACCGACAAATCGAGTTACTAGTAGCGCCCTCTGTAATCTCATACTTGAGATTACACATTAACTGTAATTAGCAAAGTAGTTTCATTTTATCTATCTTTTTCATCTGGCTGTGCGTAGCAAGGTTCGAAGCAAGGAGAGTAGACCAAGGAAGTTAGTGGCGCCACCTAGCGTATAAAGTAACTCCACACGTATAGTTTATTGCTATTTATTGGTGTTGGGAAATACCTGAAACTTTGAATATCGAACCAGTGCAGTGCCACCTGTGGCCCATTTAGTGTAAATCGAATAAGAGGTGGCGCTAACAGAAGCAAGTGTCGGCATCTATGTTGTTTAATCAACCCAATATTAATTTGTTATACACTTGAAAGTATGTATCGTCAGCTAGATGTGATAGTATTACAGTTTAACTGAAAGCCATTTGGCAACATGAGCGCTTGCATAAAGTGCCCTCTATGTGTGGCCTTTAATCTTTGCTGTTACTTGCGTTGTTAACTTAATTATGTGAAAGTTTACAGAGCTTGCACAGCTTCTGGTAATTCTTCCCATAATCAAGAGCCCATTTTTCAATTGCTCTATATAATGGGATTATGTTAGGAAAATGATTAAAAAAAATATATAATGTAACTCCTATAATTTCTATAACTAGTTTTAAGTATGCTTTTAATAATTGAATTGGCTTTAGATATGCAGTCTGTTAGTTAATTAGGGGAATTATGCACCTGAACGGCAGAGTGTTGCATTATTAAATAGGTTTATGTCGAAGACAATAAAGCAATATTCCAGCAACGCGTTGCCAGGGCAGCGTCCAGAGAGTTGGCTGACTGGGGTACGGATTGTGGCAGCCAGAAGCCAAACCGCGAATCGCAAGGATCCAAATGAGGCCCAGCCGCATGTTGACTTAATGTCCTGTCAACAAAAGTGTCGTGTCCTGTCGGCGCAGATTTCGCAATTCCTTTTTTCTCACACTTTATGCATGAATTAATATGTAATGTAAAAGGTGCCGGGACAATAACAGCATCAACAAGAGCTGGGGAAGCGAAGGCAAAACGGAAAGGATAGATAGGACAAAATCGCAACTCACTTTAATTTAGCAAATGTCAAAATATGCCAGCGCAAGGCATCCTGTAGGAGTCTAGCTTGCCTCTTGTAACAATTTTTTTAATAATCTAAAAATCTTTCAAGCACAACTACCTACTCCTAACACCCTAAAACGCGAACGCCAAAAAAAAAAAAAATGTATGGCCACAAACGAAAATTCATCAATTTCGTTTCGGGCGCAAAAATTTCACATTTGCCCAGCCAAATACAGAGCTGACAACCCCCCAAGCAGGCAATGCAACAATTGCTGCTTTCGGATTTTATTTTTGAGTCCTGTTTTAAGCACAAAAGTGCTTTTGTTCAACGTGACTAGAGTTGGCTGGCATTCTGCTAGTGATAGGGGGCTATCCTGTAATCAGATGCGAGGATTTTCTATGTGTACTAGATGGAAATCGGTTGGCAAAGATTTTATTTACACCTCTTGCACCTGAAATTTTTGATAAATGCACAAATCGGTTTCAATTTAAGCCCAGTGCCTGCGTGTCTCCCTGGGCGGCTGTATGGTGTGCAATGCACCAAAAGGATGCACCCATTCGCGGTAGGCGGCCATCTGAAACACTATAAAGGAGCTGCAGAAGATGAGCAGATAGTAGAAAAGCGACATGCGAAACTCGTTGGCACTCATCGAGACGTGAAAGAGTGTACCAAAAAAGATGACCAAAAAGAAGTTAAAGCATGTCTCCGATTTGGCGGTTTCCATGATCTGTAAAGCAAATCAGAAACCCATTTGAATACCCTTGCACAAATGCGGAACAAGGGTTCAACTCACATAGGTGTTGGGCGTGTAGCAATTGTGCAGGACGAGCAGCGGCAGAGCTGTGTACACGGTGTGAGTAATTAGGCTCATGACCGCGCCGTAGGCCGCATCGTTCAAGTTGTGAGCGATGAGATGATGCAGAAATACGGTGGCGCAGAGCATTTCGCCGCTGCTGAAGAACATCAGACAGATCAGATCCGACATGCCATGGAAGCGCATGCTAAAATATTGCCAGGCCAGGTTGTCAATCTCCCCGATCAGGCATTGCATGGATACGGAGCACACGACCATGCCCACTATGGAATAGACGCACAGCGCCGCACGGCTGGGCTCACGCAGCGAATGGGTTGAGATGTAGACCATAAACGCCATTATCCAGCTTATCACGAACACTCCGAACCAGGCCTTCGGATCGGGCATCAAGTTTATAAATATAATGGGAAATACCAGAAAACTGACGCAATTCACGGGCTTGCACCAGCCATACATCGGGCGTTTCTTGTTTATAACGGGTACGATATTGGCCAGCAAAAAGTATAGCGGCGTCTGTTGAACAGTTGAATAGTTCTGGGGATTAATTAGGCACAGCAGGTTGGAGAGCTCGACTCACAAAGCATATAACTATGATCTTGTGGTGCTCCTTCATATTCGCATAGCCGTTAACAGTGCCCCACCAGATCTGGAATTTGTTGAGATCATCGCGCAAAGGTGGCTTGCCAACATCTTCCATTTCACTGGCTGGACTTGAGATGTCTTTTGAATCGCTCGACTCTTTGCTAATTGTTTTCTTTAATTGGCGGCGCCGTTTGTGGTAGGACAGGAGAATAGACAGAAGCAGAACGAGGTTAAACACAAACAGAAATGCCCACGCGTTGAGTGTCATCAGATGCGCATTATCGTAGGCCAAATCGAAGGCGCCAAACAGATCGTATTTGAGACGCACAACCATAAACAAATAGACATAGCCTATTAAAATGAACGACATATTGCCCCACCAGAGCACGCTGCGCACATGATATCCATTAATGCAGAGCATCATCATGCCGAGCAGAAAAAAACGTAGAATGTCGCCAACTGCCTTGGTGAACATCAGGCTGGCCACATTGACGGTTTCATAGGGGCAGCTGAGCCAAAAGTTCAGATAGTCGGGCACAAATAGGCAACTGCCAAAGTAGACAAAACTATATGTGTACGAAGATATGGGCAGCATCTCCATCATTGCCATAAAGTTGGGCAGACAGCTGGAAGGGGGTATCAATCAGTCGGTCAATCTTCAATTGGAAATACTCACAAGTATTTGATAATCATGTAGAGCACGAAGTACAGCATCACGAAGATCAAAGCCACCATAAAGACATAGCAACTGTCCCAATTCAGGTTGAAGGTGCAAAACAGCAGCTTCAGGTAGTCAATATAGTAGACAAAATAGGTGCAGCTCGGATTGTTCCTAACGAATTCACACATCTCGGTGCTGTTCGGCTGCAGAGCTTCCGGATAGAAACATTCCATCTGATTCCATATTGTAGCAAAATCTTGGCTGACATATTATATATATATGCATATACCTAGCTCCGGCTGTCTACTCACCTTATTCCATGTTCTGAGGAAGGATATGTGACGCCGCGCGCGTCGCAGTGTTTCATCGTCATTTAAAGGGTCTTGAATGGGCACAAAATCGAACATGTTTGAGTTGCCTTCAGATGTAAAAATATAAATTAATGACTTTTTATTTGAATTCATGTGTGACTGAGTCTCAACTGAATCTGATCCTACTGTAAGGTAGATATGTAAAATAGGTAAATGAAACCCTTTAATATCACATTAAAATTAATTGTTCCCTGGTTTTCTTTAACCGTACTTTATGTATCCCAAATGTTTCAAATACAGAATATAGTTTAATTTTGTTTGGGTCAGACTATTTTGTTAAGGGACTGCATGCTACAATAAAGACGTCGATCGACTAGCTCTAAAGGGGCCTACCTTTTTAAGCCTCCTTCTTATTCGCCTCCTGAGTAGGACTCCAGGGTGGTATCTTTCATTAAGATCCTTAAGATCCTTTGCGATGTTGCGTGTGCGAATATACCATTCTTGCACTTATACCGTAAACCCATTTCGCCACACAGGAAACAAGGACTACCTTATAGATAAGGACCTTTGGAGCGAGTGTTTTTTGTTGGGGCTGAGAAGCCAGCTTAAACACTTGGCTTTGCTCTTTACGATGTTGGTTACCTCTGTGACATGTTTTGAGAGCGACCCCTACGTCTTTATGGTCATGCACTTGCTATAAGAGCTTACCATTGGGAAAAGGTCGGGGGCAGGAATCTTTGAACAGGGAAAGTATATACTTTAGGAATTCTTTACACTGACTTCCAGCTTGATCAAAGTAATTTTTCTTAGTACCGAAACTGAGCTTTAAGGTGCTTTCTCTAGATCTGACTGCCAAGATTCATAGAACTCACCATTAAAGCCATGTCCTAAGCCTCAATTCAATAAATTTCTGTTTTTTAAATCTCTTCTCAAACTAACCTTTCTCATGCTGTGCACACATCCCATCTTTAAAGCGCACTTTTTACGAAAGGCAGCCGAAAAAAGAAATTTTGCAGTTTACGTGTTCTTAATTAGCAACAAGCATGAAAAAGTGTAAATAAATGAGTGAAAACTAAAACTCGCTCAAATAAAATGTGCGCTGAAATAAAAAGCGCGCAAAACGAAAGAAAAAATGCTACAAAAAATTAGCGAGAGACCGAAAACAAAGCTAAGCTATAAAAAAAAGGAGAAAACTTTTATAATTTTATTTTCATTCTTATAATAAAATATAATTTTAACAGAGATTTTTGTTTGGCTCTCAAGTATCAGCGCACTTTTTTTTCGCCCATTTGCATTTACGCTTTTTTTTCGCGTTAACCAGAACTCATTGAAAATGGGTAAAAAGGGGTATATTGCACTTCTCAGTCAGGCGAAAAAAAAATGGGAGAAGCTTTAGATATTCCGAACAGTATGTCCGGTTGTATGAACGAAACGATCTCTCGAATGCTTCAAATATCGATTTGCAGTCTTGGATTTTTATGTATATATCGCAAGTTAGATAACTCTCGCTTGGCATTTATGTGTAAGTATAGTTTATTGATAAGAAAATATATAATTAGTCGAACAACACTTCTACTTGCTCCCAAAAAGAAGGCATTTTTAGTGGGATTTACTTAAGCTATGGTTTTTGTAAAACATATATATTAAAGTTCTTTGAGAATTAAATTTCCAGCATGTCAAGGCAGCACAGGGTATACGTTAGTCTGTCACTCTTGATTTTAAAAACTTTTTGTTGCTTTTCGCTTGTTTGTTTTGTGGTTTTTTTTTCTAGCTGTTCGCCAGGTTTTCTGTAACGCTTGCGTCTCAGTGATTACTCTATGAGGTCTGCCGAAATTATGCTTCAACTTTTTTTTGCCAGCTCGTTGGCTTTAGCTACTTTAAGCGCTGCGCGTAGAGGGGGACAGACCAAAAGATCCCTTCGTGGATTTCAACATTATTGCAAACCGGTTGCCCCTTGCCCATTGTCCATTGTCCACTTAACCCGCCGCTAAACATGTGTCACAACACGGCGAACAATCGACTTCCGTTTGCTGACCACCAACCGCGGTGTTGGGCAATCAAATGACCACTTCAATAGCTTCATTCTTGCTCCTGCATCCTGATTAGTGTAAACCCATTAGCCCAGGTTGATCAATTTGTAAATGAGCCTTATCCAATTTAACGCAACATTAAAACTGACCTTAGGTCATTTGCCCAACCGGCTCGGTTCGACGCGTGTGCCTAGAACCTCGGTTTCCGAACGGCCAACCGGTTTCATTCCCCTAGAGGGAACATACATATGCTTGTGTCCTCGCTCGCTCCTCTGTACAATTGCCGTTTAGTCCTGCACGGAATGCAACCACCAAGCAGGACACGCGCCTGCACTCAGGCCATTTGCCATTTGTCCTGCCCCTGCCCTGGACAGGGGTCAGCGGTGTTGCCAATTGGTTGCATGACATTTTCATTTACTTTTCATGCTCATGTTTATACACTTCCATTTGTACATACATATGTATGCTTGTGGCTCTGCTTGCCCTTTGTTGGTCTCACAGGAGGGGTAAATGCAGCGCTTGGCGTGTGCAGGACCCGAGGGCATTCAATTCTATTCAGGGTGCTGACTGAATGCACTTGGAAGAGCAACAGCGTGAGGCGCTTGTGGATTGAGATACAATTTGTATTTTTGAAGAGAGACAAATGCGGCTGCAAATTGCAGTAAAATATTTAAGATTTATATTAAATTCTTGGCGGCATTTTTCAAAAATATTAACTAGAAGCTTAGGAGTGCTACTTAAAGATGATTAATTATAAAGTAGATTTAAAATAGGAGTTTTATTCAAGAGACTGTTTAAACTTTTGAAGCATTGAACTTTAAGGAAGCTGTTAATTTGACTTTTCAATTTACCGAGTTAATCATGCGGTATCTATGTATTTAATGTATTTATATCAGAGCTAAGAAAAACACAGATTAAAAGAATATATTAAATAAAAGTTGTACATAAAGAAGCGTTTACTTGCCATGTCTTTAGTTGCGTCTACATCTCAAGGCTTAACTCGACTGATTTCCACATCTAGCCCACATGAATTTCCATCTCAAGGCAGTTTTTCGGCTTCAGTTAATCGTCGGTTGCAAAGTCTTGCGGCAACATTGCAAGCACTTACTTAAGCAGCCAACTTTTCACATGCTGGGGGAGAAGTAGAAATGGGCGGCGGAGTGAGGGGCGTGTATTCGTATTGTATTTGCAAGATGTGTCTTGTAGCTGACGCGTTAACAACACGGCTCCCACACACACACACGCACAGCTGACACGCTGCCGCCCGTCTGGAGTTTATACAATTTCTTTTTATTTTGTTGGCACAACAGATTTCAGACCGAAAAGAAAAAAAAAAGCCTCCGCCTGTTCGCCTGCTCTTCCTTCTGCTCGTATCTTGTATCTGTGCGCTCGTAAAGCCGCAGCGCCAAAAAGTATGCAATGGTTTTTTAATCGAGCGCAACATTTATTGCCACATTACATGTACGTAATACGAACTTTGCTTGAACGGAAAAGTTTACCGTGCACCGTCGTTCACCGTTCAGAGTTTGGCGTGTGTTTACCTTACGTTATGGCAACTTTTTTTTTTGGGAAAGCTGCACAAAATTGCTCAGAGTTATTTTACTTGCGATTAACTTACTTCCGTGTGCAAATTTTGAGCAGCCGATTGCACTGAGCAGCTTTTCCGGCAGCTATAAAAAGACTCATTGATGGTTTAATTCGGGTGAGAACTGAAGTGAAGTACTTATGGGAATCAAGGGTATCTAAGAAGCCTGCTAGCAAGTAAGCTTTGCTCTTTGGTATCGAGGTATTAATTCTCTTAGCGAGCGATGGTCAATGGAGTTTGACGATCCAGGCACGACAAAGACCCTTTGTATATCTTTGGTAAGACCTATTCTAGATTATGCCTCATGTATCTGGTCTAGTTGTGATCCATCCATCACACTTCTCCCGACTTCTTCCTTCATTAATGAATCGTAAAACCATGATTGGTGTAAATTTTATTCACGGCCGTTATCGACTCTTTTGGGTTGATTAGCTTATTAAACGTCTCTATCTCTACTAGACTAACACATAACTATACTCCTTAACCGCATTTATTTTTATAACTACAGAATATTCTGCTCGAAGTCTTCTTCCTCGTAAAAAGTCTTCAATAGATTGTCTTAGCATATTCGTTTTGTACTTCGCGACTCGTGTCGTTAGATTGTGATCGCATTTTATTTTACAGCACATATTGAAAAAATTGTTTGAAAATCTTCCAACCCAAAAACTAGCAAAGCTTTGAATACACGAGAATATTCAAGCATAACAAACGTTTTTCAAATAATTTTTAATGTTGTTCATTTAATAATTAAGTAATCAGCTTCCATGTGAACTTTGTCAATGATTTTAGTTGTTTCCTACTTTTCTTTCTTCCCTATTTCAGCCTTTTTGTTTTATTCTCCAAGCATACTTTTTGTATATTTTTTACATTAAATTATCTTATTCATAGTTTCAGCTTTTGTTTGGCTATTCTTGTGAGTTTTCTATGAGGAACGTATCATATTTCCCGGCTGCCCACTTGGCTGTCAGCCTTTAAGCAAACAAACTTAATCAAATCTGTTGAGCAACCGCAGCCCAACTCAACTGAACTCAAGTCGACTCCAGCTCAATCCTTGTCTGTCGTCTGAGAAATGTCGCCTGTAGAAACTAGACATGAATTCGTGCATGCATCTTGGCCAACATCTTGCTGCACATGCTCCACTAGGCAAGCGGGTGACCACAAGGACCCTCAACCACCTGCCACCCTGCATCCGGCCCCAACCTGTGGCAAGCTATGCGTGGCATGCAGTCAAAAATACTGTCTAAGAAAATATTATTGCTGACTGTGCGTCGAGGAGCGAGGAGCTGATGAAATGCTTAAATAATACGCAGGCCTTGCATTTGGGACTGAGCCGCATATCAGTTTTCTGACAGTCAGCCAGGACATGTATGTTCGTGTGTGCGTGTGTTGGTTGAGCTGGGGGCACGACCGCAAATCAAACTCGTTGCAAAAGTTTTTGGGGCTGCCAGTGTTGGCGGCATGTGATAAGTTTATTGTCTTGCCGCATGACGCACACACTCACACCACATCCAGGCAGGACTCGATGCTTAAAAAGGACATGCTACGAAAGTATCGCAT